TAGGGGTTTAAGGATTTAGGGTTAAGGCATGTGGGGTAGGACTTACAGTTTAAAAGTCCTCCGAGAAGTCAGCCTCGCAAGTCTCAGCAGCCCTCATCCGCGAGCTCCGGAGCATTTTGGGACCAAGGATCTGGTAGGCTGGGATTGGCCATCGCTTGAAGAAACCTTCTTTGACACTTTGAGTCATATGGGACTCTTTCTAGAACTTTTGCAGAATATGCATATCTCCTCCTATCTTGACGTTTCCCCGAAAACCCTAAACCCTAAACCCTAAACCCTAAACCCTAAACCCTAGCCGAGTAAGCAGAAGCAATACAACCGCTATGACGTTCGGCCGTCACAGGCTGGGGCGTTTCAGGCTCTTCTGCAATAAGTGGCAATAAGCGTAAACTACAGTTGGCTACACAGGCCCTGGAACCCTTATAGCGTCTTGGGTTTAGGGTTGAGGGTTCAGGGTTTAGGGTTTAGGGTTTTTAGTAAGCCCTCTATTCACACCAGAGCCTCTTGATGAGGCATGCACACTGGCTTTCACGCCTGTGCAAGACAAACCCTCACGTCTGTGTATTCCGAAATTTACCGATGCAACAGTCACCCCCTAGCCGTCTGGAACCTCGGAAGTTCCGACGTTGCCGCTTGGCCCAAACTGGCTTTGGTTGTCGTAGTTGACTTGTCCCAAAAGTTGAATAAGCGCTGCTCAACATCCAAATCCCTGGCCAACCTCTGGTTCGTAAATGGCTGTCCTGTTTTCGATGTGGCAGCCAAGGCCCCGGCATAAACTGCCTGGGTGAACCTGGCCGGGCGTGGCGCTGCTAAATCACTGCTAGATCTCGAACGCCTTCGCCAAAGAGTGTGCATATCTCAAACCAGGCTCATCCGTTGCGAAGCTGACCACTGCGAGTACGCCTTATTGTGAAGCCTAGAAGCAGCAACTACCTGTGCTTGGGGTTTCCGAGGTTTCAGGTTCATAAGATCCCTAAACCCCAAACCCTCAACCCTAAACCCTAAACCCTAAACCCTTGACGAGGTTTCCCTAAACTCTTCACCCTGGAGCCCGTATCTTTATAAAGAACCGTTCGGACAAGCTGCCTGGGCGCCCAGCTATTCCGACTCTTATAATCCCTAACTTAGAGAGCCCACTACCCGTTGAACAAGGAACATGACTTAAACCCTAAACCCTAAACCCTTCACCCAAATTATTGAAACCCTAAACCCTAAACTCTCTCGGGATGAATTAAGCCACAACTCAACCCGACACCTGCCTTGCGTGCGGCCGCACGACGGGGAGCAGCGCGTTGGGGACCTCTGACTCTCCCAAGGCACGGTACCCGTTCATGAAGGCACATACACTTGAAATCGCAACATAGGGTTTAGGGGTTTAGGGTTTAGGGAATATTCTGAAGTCATAGTCGATAGAATCCAGATATTTGCCCAATATTCCCTTATCAATAAGTGCAACAACCATTCCGTTCACAATAATAAATGTCCATATCAATCCAATAAAAACCCTACAGCCATCGTAGTTCCTGAAGAACCCAAAAAGAATCCTTCATCCCTATAAACCTCAAACAAATCTTATAACACAACTATTGTCCCTCTTGATACTTCAATCCTATACCCTTCGTCCCAAAACCTAAACCTTTCTTGATTAAGGGTTCTATAATGGTTCCTGTAAGGTTCTTTACGTAAGGGTTCCTCTTTGTGTTCTATAAGGACTTCTGTAATGGTTTCGGGTTTTGGGGCTGAGAAGGTTTAGGGTTTAGGGCGTCGATCGGGCTTAGGCAGAAGCTTAGGCATTCAGGAGGTTTAGGGTCATTCTTGGTTTTGGGGTTTAGGGTTTACGGTTTAGGGTTTAGGGTTTAGGGTTTTGATTTCTTTGGCCACTCCTGCTATACCCTGCAGGCGCGCGCAGGGCGACTTGCAGCAGTGGCAAGCTTTCCATGACCGGTGATAAAGAAGTCAAACTTTCGAGTTGCGCCCTTCGCGAGGTTGAAACTTAAGGCTTAAAGCAAAGGCTTAAGACTTAGGTTTTCAGGGGCTCAGGGGTTAGGAGGCTGCCATGTTTGGCAAACAACATACCTTGCACAGCAGCCCAACTTGCAAAGTTTTGACGAAAGAAATTAAATTGCAAGCCCGGCGTGCGAGATATGTAACATTCTGAAGGGCACCGCCCCGAACGCTTTGTCCGCTTGATCCTGTTCGCTGAGACCTTGTACAGGAATCTTTCGAGAACCCTTTGAAAGCAATGTAGGTGCCTTAATAACTCGCCTCGGCCCCCGGCCGAAGCGGTCAGAGGTTCCTATTCGGACTTCCTCTATTCCCCGCCTCTTAATCCCCTCCCCAGTGACCC